GTGCAATGTAAATAAAGTAAGAGGGTGGGTTTTTTTCTTCTTCTTCTTTTTTTTTTTTTTTTTAATTTTTTATTTGAACGGTTTGGCAGCGAGATGGAGCCAAGCGGATTTAAACCAACAGCCTCCTGCCAGCCTCTTTGCTCCAGACTCTGAAATCCCGCCACTTACACCACCATTTATTCTCCAGGAGCCAAAAGGAACCAACCCCTGCCCTTAGTGCCTGGCCAACCTCATCTGGATGAGGTCACAGCACTTCAGGACAACCCTCTTCCTGCCTTCTCCATCCACGTCCCGCAGAGAGAAGACAAACCTCTGTGGTCTAACTGTGGCATCAACCTCCTTTAGCAGAAGTCCTCTCCAGGCATGAAAGTTGACTTAGTTTTGCTTCTGAGGTGGCTAAATGCAAAGTGCAGCAGGGGCAGCAGCCACCTCCCACCACCTGTAGGTGGAGGACAACATCCCCCAGTGAGCTCTGGCCACCCCCAAAGCCCTTCCTACACACCTCAGCTGCAGCATTTGGGGTAGGAAGATCAGAAGGTAAATGAGTGATGAAACCACGTAGAAGGTAAAAACCAGGGTTGGAAAAGACCCGTCAATCCTTGAGCCACATCAATGCAAGAGTCAATGCTGCAATGCCTGCCTTTGCTGCAAGGAGGGGGTCATTGATGTCCAGGTACTGACTGCACAGGCACCCATACCCCATCCTCCAGTTATTAAATCCCTGATGTCCTCCCTCTCGTACCTCCCAGTGTGTGAGGGTGTGGAGTGAACAGGTATCACATGTGTGGGGTACACGGCCACCAACGCACACCCTGACTGGGCCCAAGAGGTGGTGCTTTGGGTCTGCATTTTGAGCTTCAGCGCGAACAGTATCTGGTTATTGGAGAAAAAGCATCTATGAGACATGGTAGCGTTTCCACCAGAGAAAAATCCCCTGTGGCAACTGGATCCGGAGAGCATCAGTTGTTTGTGCTGCTGAATGCATCCTCTGGAGCGCGGTCCTGCCCCAATGCCAAGGCTGCTCCCTGGGATGCTCCAGGCTCAGCGCTGCAGCATCTTCACCCTTGCATTATCCCATGTGGTACCATTCCCAGTGGAGACTTCTGGATAAGGTGGCTGCAGAAACCCAGATTGTGCAAACATTTTGGCATGCAGGGAGGAGCTGAAAGCAGCTTTTTTCCTTTTTCTTTCTTTTCTCGCTTTTTCCAAACAGCAACAAGCAGCAGCATCCCAAGCGCTCACTCCGGGCTGCAACTGCTGCGGCCCCCTCGGCACGGCTGCTCTGCTCCATCAGAAATGCAGACCCTCTGGATAGTGTTATCTCCATAAATACTTGCAGATGTTTCAAGGCTGGGACCCGTGTTCAGCCCGGAACGCCTGCTGGATCAGTTGCTCTTTCGCACGGGATTGCCTGGCTGCAGAGGAAGCAGCAGATGATCCCGATGGATCATGGCAGTTGAGACAAGTGTTTAGCAGAGATGACATGTGGGCTCCAACCAACAGAACAACCCTTTTTTCTTAAAAAACGTGTATTTAGCAGTTATTAACTACTGCTGTTAAAAGAGGAGGCTGAACTCACACTGTCCTGCTTCCTCCACATCCCAGATGCCCCAGAGTTGCATCCCTGCGGCACAGCTCCATGTGACATGCCATGCTGGGTGAGCAAGACCTGCTCTGCAGTTACCTCACTCTCATCTCTAAACCAGCACTCTTTCCAACCAGAGAAACCCCATCATCTCTCAAGTTTTCCCTTTTTCCCCCCCTTTGAACTGGACAACTTGCACTGGGGGTTATTCTTCACCTTCCTGTAGCCACCTCAAAAAAAACCCAACAACCAACCCCAAACAGCTAAAATGGCATTAGAGGAAACTGTTTCCAACAGCTGTTGGTGCCTCAACCTCCCCTTTGCTTCATTTTTTTCTCCCCTCTATACTCCAGGGACTTCAGAATCCCAACCTGGCCCTTTGGATGGCTGAAGTTCGCTGCTGCAGCTGCTTCCTACAGGGAGTTTCCAGGCGATCAGATTATTTCCACTCTGTCTTTCATGAGCTCAACTCCTCAAACTTCTTGTAAAATATTAAAGATGGAAAATGGCACGAGCGATCATAGCTCTGCGTGTGTCAATTTATGTTTCCAGTGTAATTCACCACAAATGGATCATGTTTTATGGGCTACATACTTTCAGCTAATGGGGGAGTTTTGCTATTTAGAAACATTTTCGAGCACCTCTGGGGGTGGCAGAACAAGGCAGGATGGTACGAGAAGGCATAGCATCACTACCATGAGATGGTTTCAAGTTAGGAACAGGGAGGCATACCTGCCCCTGCCTGCCGTTTTTGATGTTAGAAAATACTAAAATAAATTAGATGGATATTAATTAAAACCATGCCTGGGTTTATTGGAGAGGAGCTTTATTTCTACTGAAGGAGAGAGATGTTTTGCAAGTTGTCAAGAAAAAAATAAGGTATCTCTGAAGGAGCCTTTAGGAGAGATGCTCCAGGTGTCTCCAAAGAGGAAGACCACGGTCGCCTTCCAGCACGTGGTGCTGGGTGAGGACCTTCCTGAGAGAGGGCAAGGCAAGGCAAGGCAAGGCGAGGCGAGGTAAAGCAAGGCAAGGCAAGGCAAATCAAGGCAAGGCAAGGCAAGGCAAGGCAAGGCTAGACAAGGCAAAGCAAGGCAAGGCAAAGCAAGGCAAGGCGGGCCAAGTTCCCCCGCAGACAGCGAAAGGCAGCCGTGGGCAGGAGCTCTGCCTCGCCTGCAGCTGGGGCTCCCAACTGCAGAAGCCTGGTTTTAAGGAATATGTTTAACACAAGCTCTTCAGGAAACAAACCCGTGTCAGCCGGAGCCAAGAACAGTCACCTCCATCTGGCTGGAGCACCCGAGAGAAAGTTGACTGCAAATCCCACCATATGCTCCAGACGCTTGGTACAAAAGCCTCGGGCATCCTACTAAACTTCCAGAAAAAAAACTTTCTCTGATGCTTGCTTTTCCTTTCCTCCAGCTTGTAAGCCACCTTCCTTCAAATCCTGACTGGTGTAGGTTGATACTGACTTCTGCCCCACGATTTTGGGAAGGGCAGCCTGGTTTTGTGGCTCTCGTGCCACCTCGACGGAACTGGCTGACCATCGCCAGCAGCATCCATGGAGCACTGGCAAATCCCACTGAGGGTGGGACAGGACAGCCAGGCAGGGAGAAAATGGTGGCACATCCAAGGAGGGAGCAGGACAACATGGATCTCTTCCTATTGTCCCTGGCTTCACCATCCTCACCTCCATGGGCGACCTCACCCAAAGAGACATGCTCCAGGACAGAGGGAGGAGAGGCAGGGAGCAGATGTGGGGGGAGCCCCCTGGGCTCTGTAGCCCCCCGTCCTCCCCAGCTCCCGAGGTCTGTCTGCATTAGGGGGCAGTGTGGGAACACGGAGCAGCCGGTGCTTTGTTTTGGTGCATCTCGGCGCCGAGCCGCTGATGCATAGCTAACGCAGCCGCCGACATTGATTTATGGTCAACTTTCCATTTCATCAGCGCGCAGGGTACGGGGCGGCGCGGGGACTGCGCTGGGGAGAGCAGGCATGGCTGGGGGGGGGCTGCTGACTGGGCCCCCTCCATTTATTAAGTGTTATAAAGGTGTGGTATTAACGGATTTCAATTTCTAATTTTTCTTCCTACATTTCCCTGACACCTCCCTGCCCCTCCTTTGAGGGATCTGCACCCCGGCATCAATCCAGCTTTCAAAACAAAGCAGGAACACCTCTGATGACCTTTAGGAGGATGAGCAGAGGGTTTGTTTGCTCATCTAAACGGGACAAAGAGAGAGGTTGTAATAAAAGCATCTACCCACGCTGGTCATCAACCCAGCCACCTTTTGTCCGGAGTGCAGCCTGATGCTATGCTGCTGGCTGGCACCAAAATTGCCCCAGCAACCCAAGAGTGCCATGGGCCCCTCCTTTCCCATCATTTCAGGAAGGTTTTGGGAGACTCTGGAGGCTGCACTTCCCTTGGCCCCTGGCCTGATGGTCACTGCTGAGCCCCAGCATGGGGAAGGGACTCTCACTGCAAGACAGTGGCTGTGGATGGGCACTGCAGCCTGGAGTCCTCCTTGCTTCTCTCCTTCCTTGCTTCTCCTCCAAGCTCACTCCCATGGGTTTTTAGGCTGTTAAGTCCCAGGAACAGTATATATAATTTTTTCTCTTTGCCAAAGACCTCCAAATGTGCAAGGTTGGGGGGGGTTCATGTATTCCCAGGGTGGTTAGTGCAACCTGAGGATTTCTACAACCTGAGCTTTGCTGGAGACTCCCTTCTCAGCTCCCCGTGTCACATCCTACCATGCCAGGACAGGATCAGGCCCTCTAAACCCCCTCAAAAACTATCTGCTCATGCCTGCTACTCTCAGGAATATCCCTTGCAGGTCCCTGGCACAGAAGAGCAAGGTGCTGAAAGCCCCTGAGCACGCTCCAGCAGTCTCCTGGCATGAGGACAGCACCGGCTAAGGTGGTACCACCAGGAACCTCATTCACTCCCAGGGCTGGCACACCAACGGGTGGGGAGAAGTCCTTTGCATCTTCTGTGACCTTTTTGGTTTTGCCCTCTAAATTTCAGCACTATAATCTCCAGATAGGAAATTACCCCCAAGCTGCGACCTGCTTGCCATCGAGCCTCCAGCCCATGTCTGCAAGCGCTGCTCTCCAGCATCTCCTGAAGCTGGAATGAGCTCCAGCACCCGCAATAAATCAGGCTTTCATGGAGGCGATGTTCAGACTATGTTAAAAGGTGGGATTTTTCTTCTCCCTTCCATCCCCAGGGCTGGGAGGAGAAACCAGATGTTGGAGGGCTTTCAGGAAAGGCAGGCTCTTGAGATGTCACATGTGAGCCATATGCACCAGCACCCGTTCTCTCTTCCCTCCGGCAGTGCTGGGGATGGGCAGCATCCCCCACACGACACCTGTACCAGTGTTATTACATTTCCTGGGTTTTCAGGATCCACCCCTGCTTTTGAGTCTCGCCTCCCCAGTGGCTCCTGGGCCAGCTGCATGGGAGGCAGGGAGCTAGGACAGGTTGTTTGCTTCTGAATCAGATCCTCAGTGCAAAAGTGCTACGGGAGGGCAGAAAGGAAAGTGGGGGGACAGCTTGGAGGCTGTCAATGGAAAGAGTCAAGACGGGAGCATGAGCAGCAAGTCTGGAGAAATGTGACTCCTCTTCCTCACCTTTCCCGCTCTGGGAAATCCAACCCATACTGTTGATGCCTTGCCCTAACTTCATGCCAGTTTTGCAGCCCTCGCATCTCAGTGTGAAGCAGAAGCCCCAAAGGACAGTCAGCTTCACTGTGGGGCGAGATCAGGACGTTTGGAGACACATTTGTTGGAAGCAGCAGCTTGGCACTCGGATTGCTGGCAGCAGCTATGACCTGCGAGATACCATCTCCGCTGTTGGCTTCACCCTGCGCCGCCGAGCGCTGCTACAAGATTCGCCTGTTTTAGGGTTCCCGATCAATATCGGATATTCTTACTTTGTCAGAAGCATGTTCAGGAAATAGGATCTCTCTCTCTCTCTCTCTTCAAAAAAAAAAAAAAAAAAAAGACAGGGCCCTTCTTCCCCCTTTCCACATGAGTGCAATCGCCGATATTGGGCTCAGATATCGCCACAATAAATCACAAGCTCCTTATTGAGCCTGCCTGTCTACTGCCCGAGAAGCAAGCCCACATTATAAAAACCCCAGCTTGCCAAAACAAATACTCCTTTCAACTCTTATCCCATTTTTTACACGAACAAGTGTTTTGTCCTCAAGAAGGAAGATTGTAAAGCACTGAAAGCCTGTGTCACTGCAAACTGGTGCAGCGTGCAAAGAGATCCCAGAGAAAACCTCCAAGGTTCAAGTTTTGAGAACTCCTTTTCTGTGTGTTTGTTGATATCCTTTCAGTTAGCATTGCTCCAAACATACATTACCCCCTCCTCCATCAGTGCTCGGCATGGGATAAGGAGGGATTGAGGGGACTTTGGGGACTTTGCTGGGTATTTGCTTACAAGGTACCTCCACGGCATTCGGGGATTTGGCTGGAGCCTGATCCCGCTTGCAGCCACAGCCAGGGTTTGTTAATGCTTTCAGTGATTGCATTTGGAAAAAATCAAGTGGTTAACCAGAGGAGGGGGAAAAAGTTTCAGGAATCAAAATCCAGAATGTTTTCAATTACGCACGTCTGTTAAGACTGAAGAACAAATACAATCCCAACCCAAACACAAACCAAGCAGCTTTGGGAAAAAAGCTCTGAAGTATTTACTGGTTGTAAATACACAGTAACCTCTTCGAGCAAGAAAGAAATTTGCTTTAAGGCCACAAAAGATAGAAAGCAAACTGGAAGGACAGCAGGAACACAAGTTCTTCCTAGACAGGTCAGCTATGCAGGCATGCTGCTTCCCCAGCATCCCCTTGGAAAAAAAAACACAGGCATGACAGCGCTGACACCCAGAGCGTAAGCGAACACGTGCGCGGTGTGGAGCCGAGCACCAGGAGGAGCGGCAGCCTACCTGGAAGAAACCGGGCGGGATGGGGCCCCCGGGCATCCCGTCGTTCGGGGGAATGTTTCCAAGCACAGGACTTGGGGCGGCAGCTGCGCTCTGTGGGGAACAAAACCAGGACAAACACGGTCAGAGTTGTGGCAAAAACACATTAAAAGAAAACCCCTCTCCTGCCACATCGTGGGTCAATCCACCTGGTCCCTCCGGAGCCCTGAGCATCGCTCCATGCTTCCTGAGCATCTTTCCCCTGTGGAGGAACCAGTTGAGGATGCTCACAGTTGGAGGGGCACCAGCCTTTGAGACACCCATGAAGGAGATGGCCACACAAAACCTGGGGATAATTCTGGGGTTTGTTTATTCATTTACCCAAGCACTGAGCCTTGTTAATTCACCAAAGAACCTCATCCAACATGTCATTTCAGACAGAAGCTATTCTAAGGCTTTTTAAATGCTTCTTTTACCTCCCCCCTCCCGCTTGCTGATTCAGTCCTGTCCTCCAAAAATGATGTTTCCCTGACCTCACCAACATGCCAAGGTTTTATTACGCATTTCCAAATTCATCGCACTCGACCTGTGAGGTCACGTTCCCCCTCGTGCCTCCCCAGGATGAGCCACCAGAGTGGCTCCAGCCCCAAAAAAGAGGGACAAGGGCAGACATGGGTTACCCAGACATCTTGCTTGCTCCTACTCAGGATCCCTCTTTGTATTTACCTCCTTGTGGCTCTGGGAGAGCATCAGTGTGATGGGAGACTCCTACCCTGAAGGAAAATATAAGAAAAAGATCCTTCCCTAAAAGCCACTGCTGGTGACACATCCCTGCAGGGTTAGGAGCAGTACCTGCGCCTGTGCACTCCAAGTGACCCCCCTGTTCCCAGGTCAGCTACAAAGGTGCCTCAGTGACGTTAATTGTATTTGGATCACTGAACTCCTCCCTCCATGAATTTTTATGATGGATGTACCCACCTAAAACCACGGTGAGAAAATTTTCCACTGAGGAAATCCCATGAACAGCTGGGGCACAGCCTGCTCAGGTTTGGTTTTACCCAACAAACCCTGGGTCCTGACAGCAGCTGAGCCAGTCCCAGCTTCTGACCACATCCGATGCAGTGACAACCACAAGATGTGAGCAAAGGGGGGAAGCCAGGCTGTCAGGACTTGGGCAGCCTGGAAAACTAAGGATTATTACTAAGTACTAAGGATTGCCAAGGCGGGTTGGTTGGGAATCTCACTATTCCAGACCAGAAAGCCTTGCAGAGGCAGGAGAGCATCAGACTAACCACTGCCTTGTGCCTTCCTGGGGCATCCCTTGTGCCCCCTCCGTCACGCTTTTCAGCAGGATGAGGGATAAAGACCAGGACCAGGCTGGATAAGCAGCTGCTTTTCCCACCCCAGCATCTGAGAGCTGTAAGTGGAAGGTCTAAGAGCTCCCCTTCATGAAATAACCTGTATCATTACGGGGCCCTGCACCCCAAGGCACAACCCATACCACACCCTCCCCGTGCCCCTGAACAAGGCATCCTGAGCAGCCTTCCTCCCATCAGCAGCAAAGGCCAGATCTGAGTGTTTTTACAGTTAATAAAAAAAAGTCCTGGCAGGAAAAATAAGCCTGCCCGTTCCAGGCTCTTTTTATACATCAGACGGCAGCAAAAATAGATGGGAGAGGGAGTGAACCCACTTCTCCCCCTCCCTCCATCCCCCCAAGTGGGTCAGCTATAAAAGTAAAACCAAATCTTAATCCAAGGCCATGAACATATTGCAGTTTCTCTGCAAAGCAGATGACGGTTCTTAATGCAAAAATATATAAGACCGAGCCCCAAACTGCAGTGAGCCCATTTGGAATTTCCTTTATTAAACCCTCTATCACGCAAAACACTTCTCTCCCAAGGCGGCGAGCGCTGCAATAAAGCTGCCAAGGTGATATTTTATGGTTTCAAGAGATTTCCAGTACACCATAATCCTTTGCTGGGGGAATCTCCCAAAGCAAAATGGATCCCAAAGTAGTGGGGAGTGAGGAGGGACATGGATTTGGGGATCCAGGGAGAAAGGACGCTGCCCTCCTCCTCCCCTCTGCAACAGGGAGCAGAGGGAGGAGGGCAGAGCAGCCAAAGAAAATCTTGAAGCGAATGCCCATTTTTCCACAAAACCACAGAGTATTTTCCGCGTCAAACACCCTGAAACCTCACCTATGCCTTTGCGGCGTAAACGGGGATTTAAAGTTCCTCGCACATGTGGCGCTTGGCAGAACTTGGTAATTAAAAACCCGCAAGTGCCCTGAGCATATTGTAGGATGGGAGCCAAATTGGTCAGCCCTTGATGAATGATTTACAAGGCTGCGAAGTGACATTATATTTCTTTTTTTTATTCCCCTCCCCATCACCGCCGCTAAGGTAAACACCGAGGCACCTTTAGCCCCATGAAGCGATGGGAGCACAGCCACAGCTGCAGCAGTGCTATAAAACCTTTGGGGTATGCCAGAAAGAAAAAAGGGAAAAAAGATAGTAGGAACGAACTTCCCAAACCTTAAGGGTGAGCACAGAAACCCAAGGGCTTTCCAGCACCCATTTCCAGGACTTTTTTAGCCACACAGCTCCTCCCACATGGTTTATTTTCACCATTTTGGCTCAGAAACTCTTATTAGGGACTTGTGGTTGCAGTTTGCCTTCCAAGCCTCTTTCCTCAGGTGAATATCTAAAACCCAGTAGGTCCCTGTACAGGAGGTACAGACAAGGTGGAGATGCTGTGGAAGCCAGCAGGAGACAGGCATGGAACTGCTGTGCCACAACATCCAAGCTGGTGCTGAACTGAAAGCGCATCCAGCCACATGAAGAGTCCCCATTTGCATGAGATGCCCCAAATTTCCTTCCACCAAAATACATGGAAACCACTGCCAGAAATGAGCCAGGAAAGCTCTGGCACTGCTGGCATGCCAGCTCGTTTGCCTTTTATTAGATGGGAAATCTTTTCCATGTTAGAAATAAATATATATGCATTCCCAGGACATGCATGCATAGCTATATACACAAACATACATATGGGGTTTTCTTTTCTTCTGCCACATACGTTGGTATTTTTCCTCTTTTTTGGTGGAAGCCAGCGGAATGATGACAATCTGTATCACCACATTTCGCTTCCAAACCAAAGCTCTCAGTTAACACACCGGCTCGGTACGCCAGCAGATGCCGTGTAAGCCTTTAAATCGCACACTAATTGCACTAATTGAGCTAACAGTCTCTGTTTCGTCTCCCTACCCTGAGTCAACCAGCGTCTTCTGGTACTGCTGTAGAGATCCAAGCTGTTGACTGTAGTGTTATTTTGTCAGCCATTAAACGATTCATCAGAGTCATTAATTGATTTATTACCGCTGCCTGCGAGTATAGCTTTGCAAATAAAGAAGGATGGAGGTCAGGAGGCAATGGAAATCGGACAAAACAGCACAGCCAGGAGCTGGGCACTTGAATTCATCGATAGGAGCCTGCTCACGCAGGACCACTGGCATCAGGTTATGGGGGAAAAAATGGGGAAAAAAGGAAAAGATGTGCTGTTCGGCTGTGCTGCAAAGCTGGGTAGGTTCTTCAGCTACAATATACGCAGGATGCCAAAGGGCTATTAAAACCATCTTGTTTTCTTAACCTAATCCTTAAGGAGAAACCAGGTTATCCTGCTGTATTAATTGTGTTGAAGAGCAGCAGGGAAGAGGCACTGGCTGCACAGAGCAGCTCCCTAGCCCTTGGTGCATCCCTGACAGCATTTTGGTGTCACCCAAATTTGCTTTCCCAGGCCAGCTGAGCCAGGAACATAACTCACCTCTGCTGCCCCACAGCCCTGGGAGGATCTGTGGGCTGGTGCTTTTATTTATTTACTTTCTTTAATGCAGGGTTTAGGTCTTTGCTGGGCGTGAGGGTTTGCTGCGAGCAGGGTGCGGCGAGCCGTTTCCTGCCCCCCGCCCTGCGGCACGCTCGGCCCAAGAGGAGCTGGGAGGCACTGCCGAGGCCCCGAGAGGGTTGTGGGGGCTGAATTTAGAAACCAGAGCAGGTGGGTTGAAATCGCTGTCACCGCCAGAATGTTGCTGCTCCCAGCCCCAGGGTACCCATGTAATAAAAGGCAGCACCCAACAAGAGAGGGCTTGGGAAGCTGAGGAGCTTTCCAGATATGCCGTCCAAACAGCAGCCCTTGGGATGCTGCAAGGGACTCCTCCTCGTCATCCCCATTGCCGGACCTTGAAAAGCACCATGATGGTGGGCTAAAGCACTGCACCCCTCCTGCACTGCACCCAAACCTGCCACACTTCACCAACATGAGCAATAGTTTCTATTAATCATCTGTGAAAACCAGGTTCTCACTGACAGTAGTAACTCTGCCATTAAACACAAGCCGGTGTCCCCATCACACACTCCAGGTGACCAACTCCAGTTCACATGGGCAGCTGTGCAGCTCACCCCAGCATCCCACGGTTGGCTTTCACCAAACACTTATTTTTAATAAAAATAACCTCCCAACAGCGGTACAAGGAGCTGGCAGGTAGCAATGAGGATCCTCCTTTTGTGGGAAGCACCACTAGCATTGGCTGCTCAGCCAGCCCCAGTCTCCATTATCCCGGCAGTGAGATGGGGAGAGCAAAAATATCTTCACAGCACAGGCCTAAAACTGAGCTAAGGATGGCTGGAGCTTTTTGGCCTCCAGCTGTTTTCCCTAGCTCTCCTCTCCAAAAGAGTGGACTGGAGGATTTTGGCTGCATCTCACCATGCAGCCACTGCGGGAGCCGCACAAGACTTGAGGGCAGCTGCCTCTGGTAGGAGTACACGGGGATGCTCAGGACATGCTGGTGATCTGGTACCTATCTGTCTCCTTTGATTTTATTTTTTTGCCTAGAGCACAGGCTTTGGAGCCTAAAGAAGAAATCAGCGTGCAGGTCAGGACTTAAGCAGGCTGCGTAAACAGGTAATACGGAATTTAATTGGACTCCAGTTAAGCCTTTTCATCTCATTAAAGCTGCCTTCATCTTATATAGCCAGGTTTTAAATTTAATAATAGAACCCTCCCACACCTCACAGTAACCCGATTAACGCCGGGGAGGACGACACGCTGACCGCTTCCTCGGG